CTCAGAACTGCTTTTGATGTCATAATTCAACCACTAATCTCTTCAATGACATGTTGTTGTTGTTGTTAAGTGCTATCAAGTCGGTTCTGACCCATAGCAACCCTGAACAGGGTTTCCAAGGCTGTAAATCTTTACAGGAGCAGAAAGCTTCATCCTTCTTCCATGGAGCAGCTGGTAGTTTCAAACTGCTGACCTTGTGGTTTGCAGCCCGATTCGTAACCACTATGCTACCAGAGCTCCTTCAATGACATGTAGACTTTTATTATTAGACAACATAAAACTCTTTCAGTCCCTACCAATTACTCAATTCCAACCATGTCCACATTTAAGGTATCTGTTAGGAGAGTACTCCATTGTTCTGGCACCAAGATAAGTGGCAGTGGGGGAGGTTCAGCAAGGAAGAGATGGGGAAGAGAGATGCCTAGCAACCTGAAGATCATCATGCAACTCAAACAGACAAGTACCTTCTTCCATAGTGGGCAGAGAGGGAATTACTTCTCCTACAGCCAGTACTCTGAATTTGGACTTCTACCCTCTGAAACAATGAGAGAATAAATTTGGTTGTTCAATGCATCCACTTGTGGCATTTCTGATATATAAGCAATAGATAACTAAGAAACACCTTTTCTATAAAAATATTATATATCTATATCATAGTTTACTTTTGTTCATGTAGTATCAGATTAGAAAAGATAATAATGTGAAGTTTACCTTAGATATTTGTATCCCTATTGAGATGGACATGACCAGGGGAAATACATAATAGAAATCTCAGAAATAGCTTATCATGAGTTGTTCCTGTATATAAACAACAGGAAAGTTCTGTAAAGGCCCTGAGAATCCTGACAAAGACAACTTACTAGAAATCAAATATCTGCTTTAAGAAAGTAAGTAGATTGTCAGTAGCAGGTGGAGTTGAAGCAGTAAAATTATCAAGTATCTTTTCCAGTGGAAGAGACAAAGTTTCCAATGAAAAGTATAATTTTCAAGATAGTGCCACATGTTTTTAGATCAGTTTCCTGAAACATGCCCAAATCATGTGCCTCTTCTACAATTCTAGAAAGATTTGAAAGTATGATAACCTTTTCTCTTTCTCTCCATGCCCCACAATATTGTCTTTACTCAAGAGTGAGGAAAAAAAAACTCTTTCCACCTTTAATGTATAGTTACCCAAACAATGTACTTATTGAATATGAGGTTAAATTTCTAACCCCATATGCAAGATTCTTGAGGACAAAGACTTATTTTGAATTAAGAGGAGAGAGTCCTAACTTATGAAATCCCTAGCCTGCATGGAAGAAAAAACACATATTTTATATTCTCATATTCTTATTCTCCCACAGGCCACAAGACAAAACAAGAAACTGAACTTAGTAGTTTTTATTAGTCTTTGGGTGTGTGGGAGGAAGAAAGTGAGATTGATGCTTTGCATGTTATGGTCTTAATCCATTTAACTCTTACAACTTTGACTACAAGTTAAAATTTGAAAACATTTAGTTTTATTAGTGAGTTATTGGTTTTCTAAATTTTTTTAATAAAATGTAGTCCTGGTGTGGCTCTGCAGGCTAAACACTGGACTGCTAAATACAAAACTGGCACTTCAAACCCACCAACAACTCCTCAGAAACCATATACAGAGTTGCTATGAGTCAGAACCAACTTGGCAGCACTTAACAGCAACAACAACATAGATGCTACATTTCTACATAGACCAAGAGGTAGTCATTTGAACAGAACAAGGGGATATCGCATGGTTTAAGATTGATAAAGATGTGTGTCAGAGCTGTATATTTCACCAATTTATTCAACATGTATACTGAGCAAATAATCAAAGAATCTAGACTATGTGAAGAATTGGAGGCTAGCTCCTCAATGACCGTCAATGTGCAGACGACAAAACATTGCTTCCTGAAAGCAGAGGACTTGAAGCACTTGCCGATAAAGATGGAAAAATGCAGCCTTCAGTCTGAATTACAACTCAGTGTAAAGAAAACAAAAATATTCACAACAGGATGAATAAACAACATCATGATAAATAGGGAAGAGATTGAAGTGGTCAAGGATTTCATTTTACTTGGATCCACAATCATTGTTCATGGAAGCAACAATCAAGATATCAAATTACATATGCATTGCGTAAGTCTGTTGCAAAAGAAGTCTTTAAAAGTATTATTAAAGACTTTGAAGACTAGGGTGAGCCTGGTCCAAGCCATGGTGTTTACTTCATGTGCATGTGAAAGCTGGACAATGAATAAGGAAAACTACAGAAGAATTTATGTATTTGACTAATGATGTTGGCAAGGAATATTGAAACTACCATGGACTGCTAGAAGAACAAACAAATCTGTCTTGGAAGAATTTCAATCAGATGCTTCTTAGAAGAGAGGACATCGACACTTCGTCTCACGTACTTTGACATTTTGTCAGGAGGGACCAGTTCCTAGAAAAAGACATCATGCTTGGTAAAGTATAAGTTCAGTGAAAAAGCGGAAGAATCTCTCCTCCCCCAATAAGATGTTTTCACACAGTGGATGCAACCATGGGTTCAAACATAACAATTGTAAGGATAGTGCAAGACCCAGCAGTGTTTTGTTCTGTTGTGCACAGAGTTGTAATGCCTCAGAGTGGACTAGATGGCACCAAACAACATATGCTACACCAAAGAAAGGACACGAGCACCACAAAATACAATTATGAACTAGCATTTCAATCACAATAAAGTGAAGGTCTATGAATATTTATGCCTTCTTTTCAATGACTTTAATGGGGAGGCAGACTTCAAAAACTGAATTGTAAAACAGAATTAAGTTTGAAGTAGTTGTAAAGAAGGTTGTATTAAGAATGTCTTTGAAACTTTTATATACACCTTCTGGCACTCTGCAGTCTGTGTTTTAGTTTTGGTAAAGAAACTCATGAAGTTCAATCTTAGCTTGCCTTTTGGGGAATTTTTCAAAGTGTTTGGGGGAGAGTTAATCATGCCTGCATTACTCTCATGTTGTGTTGATGTTCACCCATGGGAGTAGCTTTCTCAAAAAAAGAGAGGATGGTTTTCATCATTCTAACCCTCACATGCTACGTATCTCTCTTAATCTAGTAATTCATTTAGCACATGGAGGGGAGTTTGCCTGAGTTGAGCCACTTTATATGCAACAGAGATACTCACGGGAGGAGGATTTCACAATACAGTGCTCACCATCCTGAGTAAACCAAGCCATTTTAATCCTAGGTGATTTCGCATCTGTCATAAATTCATATGGTTGGGGGATAAAAAGGAAAATCAAAAGAAAAAATATCACCTGTATCATTGTTGTTTTCTCTTATTGTGTTGTTTGAAACTATTCATAACTATGTACCATCTAATTTGGACAAAAGTAACTGCTGTTCTACAAAAACAGTGAACAGTTTTATTTGTTAATTAACAAACAAACAAACAGTTCAGTGATTGGTGTGGTATTTATTATGAAATGATGACAATAGAGTACTGGTGGTTTTAATCGTTTTAGCTTACGAGAGCCATCATTAATTTTGTCTGTAGTGTTGCAGGTGAAGAAATGCACAATAGATAAATGTTCTATATTGGTTTAACTGAACATAATATATAGTGTGTTCTGGAGTTGTTTGTCTCAATAGACTATAGTAATCAAAAGTAATGAACCTATTATGTGCAGGACCTTGGAGAGCATCGGATGGCAGTAAAAGTGTGGCACATAAAAGGTTTATTAAAGGAAATTAAAGTCCATCATTGCCACACCTGCTCCCCTATTATAAGACTACGGCAGGTCAGTGCCTTCAATCACAACTCAGCCTCTGAGAGCACAGGCGTGTTTCCCATTACCATTGCAGTCACACCACAGCCATGCTAGTGGCAGGTTTTAAGGATGGGAGCCATGAAGAGAGCCTTCTGCCTGCCTCTGATTTTCAGCAGGCAGAACAACTTATTCACATTTAAGAAGCCCTTCTGATAATGTGTGGCTGTGAATTAAACTAATGGATTACAGAGGAATCCTGTGTATGGGTGCAGTCAGTTCTGAATCTACTTTCCTGTGGATATAAACAACAGATTTTTTTAAATGTTCACATCCGATTGATACTTTATTTGCGTACCTTTCAAATGTTTAGTAATGATGTTTTAGTGAATTTTATTCAGACACAGACAACACTCAAGTTCACCTTCTTTATACATTGGGTGATTATAAACCTTTGCTGTTCAGTCATTCTCAATTCATGGCAATCCTTTATGTTGCAGAGTGGAACTGCTATTCCACAGGGTTTTGTTATGTTATGTTTTGTTTTATTTTGGGCTGTAATCTTATGGAAGTAGATTTTCAGGCTTTTCTTGCATAGAACCTCTGGGAAGGCAGAAGATTATAATCAGTACGTATTTTGGAATTCTGGATGTGAATGCATGTTATTTGTTAATGACCAAATTTTCCATTGGTGCTTGCTGGGGGCATTCTAGAAGGTTGCTTTTGCAGACATAATTTTCCTTCTGATTTAGGTAGAGGTCTTGCCCTCAAGGTCGGTTTGAACCGCAAGGTGGGCGGTTAAAACTCACCAGTGACTCCTCGGAAACTCTATATAGGGTTGCTGTGACTCAGAACCGACTCAATGGCACTTAACAACAACAACATATATCAAGAAAGAGCTAGAAATATAAAGGAATCAGATTTCAGTAAATCACACTGAAATCCTTTGACTTGGAATTTGAAGTCTGGTCTATTTCAAAACCACTGTTAACCAAACAATTCTTTTTCTCTATCTTTGTCATGCCATACGTGTTTGAGGCATTAACAAACACTTGTGGGCAAGGACATCGTCTCTCTTGTAGCAGTTGTTTCTGGTTTCCAGCATCTATAGATGTATTTCCAAAACTAGTAGTATGTGAGGGCAGGCATAGCTATATCCCCAGGGAGCCAGAATACAGTTCAAGAGCATTGAAGGCTACTGTGCTTTTCAGAATGACCTTCATAAATACAACTTACAAGTTTTTTATGTTTCAGCCATTGTCAAAGGAATGACCTCAAGACTTTGTGCTATGTTACAGATGGATACAGAGACTGAAGATAAAATGCTTCATACTCGTGCTAAAGGGACTAAGGGTGAGTTAGCAAGCAGGTTGTACGACATTGTGCCACCATACCATGTAATTTGGAAATCCCAACGCTAGCCCCTGATGTGCAGTCAGAAAAATTAGCAATTCTGCAGAGCTTCTTCTTTTACATCAAGCAAGGACATTAGGCTGAACTCTTATGAACCAGAAGTTAAGAACTCATAAAGTTCACAGTGAAGTATCAGTATGATGCTAACTTTTTCAAGATGCAGTCACGTAGAAGAAAATGCTTCATTGAGACCTTCAAAATATTGAAGTAGTAACCTTTAATAGCTGAGGACAAGTTGTTAGTTTATTGTCAAATCAGGTTTTGATTTTTGTGTTACCTGGCTTAGTGGCTTCCACACTAAACTCACTTCAAGTAAAATGATTGTGTTTGGTTTTGACCGTCCCTGCTGGGAGTTTTCTGCAGCTATGCAAAGTAATGTTTGAAAGGTTTAACTTGTCGATTATCCCTCTCTTTTTGTAACCAGCAGATGGTAATGTAATATTGAAATATAAACAGGCCCTTGATGATCTGAACATCTGGAAAACAAGATTGACTGGCAATAATACCCCTTAAGGAAAATAACTTTTATTATAATTAGCTATATTTTTGTGACCCTTAATTCTAAGTGTAAAACCGTAGGTTCGTCGTGTTCATCATGGTCTCTGGAAAAACTTTGGGCAACTGACCCTCACTCTACCCACCTTTCTTAGCGTGGCTTTGTTCGGGCAGCAACCTTTGGGTTACAAAGCGTACAACCATTGCCAAGGGCTTTGAGATGTGCAGTTAAACATGGATAGTCAAATAGAAAAGTTTTAGTGACTTGTTCATATAACCCGTCAAAGCTATATGATAATTTAAAAAAATAATAATCTATGTTTGAGAAAAGTCCAGGATATTAGTATTTTTAATAAATATAAGGATGAATCTTTTTTCAGTTATAATGCTACCATGGTTTTCATCTGCCATAATAACCAAAATGCTGACTAATGCTGTACAAGGAATGGAATCTTTTACTAACCAAACAGAAGTTTTACACTGTATTCTTTTCCAGTTTTAGTTTAAGTTATTTTTAAAGGCATTGCACCATAAGCCCTAGTATTTGAAGTACACTATTTATAAATATTAAACTTCTCAATAGAAAACAAGTTTAAGAAAAGCACACTATGTCTTTATTTAAAGATCATTTTATACCTGAGGTAAATATCAAAACACTCATACATGGATTACTTGAATCCTTCATCTTGACTTAAAGCATATTATTCTGTCATACTTTAAAATTGGGGGTATTTTAATTTGCAATTCTTTTTGGACTTCAGATTCTTTTGGTACATTTATATAAACCGTCAAATAGAGCCAAGATGCTCTTAGAAATGAAATAATGGCTGTTTGTTGTATAGCATGAATAATCTTTACAGTTACCTGTTGTCCTTTCCAATATGCTTTGTGTAGGAGGATATTTATAAACACTAACTGCTTTATTTCTCCTAATTTCTATCAGAATAATCATAGTCCTTATTTCTATATGTCTTTCTTTATATATATATATATATATATATATTAGTGTGACTGAAGCTTCACCTCTTCTTTCTATATAAATGAAGTTTATGGATTAAAATCTTTGAGCATGGTCATTGAGGAAAGCTTTACCAGTTATATTGGAATTCTTGTTTAATGTCAATATAAATATAACCTTGGGATTCTTTTACATAATTTCCTATAAAAGGTAAAATTGATCTAAAAAAATAATCCATGGCCTTCATGCTCCTGTAATTTTTGATAGATCCCTAGAGATAGGTACTGAATAAATCCAGACTAGGGTTGCAAGAACTCAGGGTCACCTACAGCAAAGTCAGTTGGCTCTAGCTCTCACTATCTGTTCTCTATGATCCAAAATCCTAACCCAGAAAACATCAGTCCACCCAGTGGGGTCTATACTAACCATGTATTTATCAGTATCTTTGGGGGGAGGGGGGCAAATTTCAGGCAAATAGTTTTGAAAATCATAAACTGATTGGTGTTTTGTCTTTTGTTTTTGTTTTGGGACAACAGTACCAATGGAGTCCTTAATTCAGGAGCTCAGGTAAGACTTGCCATGTGGTATTACTTTTCTTGATACTGACTAGCCTTAATTTTTAGAATGCTTTGTATGTTTCAATTCTTAACATCCTTGAATTAAGAACATTTGGCTTGGCACTACCTATACACCAAAGAAACAGAAAAAGAACAGAACTGACTTAATATTTTGATAATGAAATAGAGCAATGTTTTGTTGTGGATGTGAGCTATTTGTCACATTTCTTCTGATGTGTATATTGACATTTTGTTCACACCTTAACATAGTGTGTTGTAAGTGAAGAATGAAGCACAAATCTGATTAATGGATAATCTAAGTTGCAAATTCTACTTTTTTTTTTTTGCTTTAAATAGGCAGATAATTCCATCAGATGGCCACATTTTTTTTTTTTTTTTTTTTTTAGCATGAATATTTGCGAATAACATGACTGACATATTTTGGGGGCAAACCCATGTGTTTCCACTTCAGATGCTATGAATATATGTACACAATCTGAAAATCCCACTTTACCAGGTTATGCAAAATAAACTCCAATGCTATTTAATTTCACAGAATTCTTTTAAACTTTTTATTGTGAGTTGGGTAAAAGTTTAACGAGCAGAGCATCAGTTTTACATTCATATTTTGGTTCAATAGATTCGAATCCCCTCAATGCAACATCATGTATCCCACCTCTTCCTTGTGTTTCCCGTTTCCATTCCTCCTCCTTTAACACTTCTGAACTTGAGACTTTGGTAAATTCAGTAAATTTGGGTCTCAAATGATTGATTTTTCTAAGGTGTGCATACCTCACTAATATTATTGTTCCTGTTATAGACCTGTTGATTTTTTGGCTGAAAATTAAGCCATGGGGGTAAATTCATTTCTAGACCTGATGTGTGACTAAGGACCATTGTTACAGAATTTTTGTTGAACTATTGTAAAAAAACAGATGCATTTTAAAAAATAAATGAAGGTTGATGAAACACTTTCAATATCAATGACAATTTCTAGAGAAATTGTATCAGAAACAAGTTGATCCATGTCTATCTGTTAGATTTTCTCTTGCCTCGTATTTCCCAGAAAGTCCCAAATCCATTGTTTAATTCACCTTTCTAAAATCAGCAATGCCCTATGATGTATGCCTCAGAGAAAGGTTTGAGAAATGGAGGTTGTGCAATAATGTCAAATGTGTCTTGAAAGTTTTAACAACACGTGTGAACAATCTACATAGTGATTTTTTCCAGACTTGGTGATTCCTGAAGCGCTGCTATCTTAGTTACTTCCTTGTTACATATTAGTCATTCTGCCAGAGCTCAGTCTACCTATTTAGTGGAGCATATATCTACTAGAATTGAGGACACATTTATATGTTGTGAGCAGGTAACCCATACCCCTTCTTACTTTGCCAATTTTATCATTAAGATTTAAAATTTTAAACTATTTTGATAAGGGAAGAGTATATAGTATACCTTTGGACAGAGTTAAACCATTGAGTGCTTGGCTCATTTAAATTCTTGCTTTTTAAAAAAATACATATATTTTTTAAGTTTGGGGAGCTTATATATAGCTTGTTACTGTGAAATGATCAAAAGACATTTACAACAATCAGATTCTCAAACTGTGTGATAGATGCAATACCAGGACCTGATGTTTATGGAGGTCTGCTTCAAAAACAGCACCTGCCAAAGGTACACAGAAAGGAGAGAATTAGCAGAGAGAAGCAATTTGTGGGGGAAATGTTTAATATCATTCTGGAGAAATAGTTATAATAAAACTAATATTTATTGAGATCTGATTTTGTGCCAGACATCTTTAGCAATTTTTGTTGTTGTTAAGTGCCATTAAGTAAGTTCCAACTCATAGCAACCCTGTCTAGGGTATCTGAGGAGTGACTGGAGGTTTGAGCCATCGACTTTGTGGTTCAAACAGATCTTATGGCCCAGTGCATTCTCCTGTAGTCCCACATCAGGACTTCTGCTGAGAGACCAGAGCTTAGTCTTACTAGCTGTACTTTGTAGGTAACTTTTGTTTAGCAGAGCTATTCTCGGGCATCTTTCATTGTCTTTAGCTTTAGAAAGTTTGATTATAATACATCTTTATGATTTTCTTTTGGGGAAATTTTCTTCCAACAACTCTTCAACAATTTTCTCTCTGGTGTTTTACTTCTTTGTTTATTTAGTTATTTATTGTCTTCTTTGGTTCTGGAATTCCAATCACATGTAAGTTATTCCTCTTGAGGGTATCCCACACAATTTTCAGGTCTTCTTCGGATTGTTGTTATTGTTATTTCTGGTGATTCCTGTAGCAAATGAATATTGAGAGCTTTATCTTCAATTCTACTTATTTATTCAATTCTACTTATTTTCCCTTTCAGTATTCAATGTAGAATATATTTCTGAAATTTGGGTATTAATATTTCTGGATTTCTATATGTTATTTTTGTGTAGTTTCTAATTTTTCATTTATTTTATCAGTTCTTATATTATTTTTCTGAATTCTTCTAAAGTTTTATCTGTCTTCCTTGATTTAATCTGCAGTTTGCTCAGGTCATTCTCTCAAGTTGTTAAAAGTACATAAATATCATTCTTTTGAATTCCTTATCAAGACATTCTAATGCTATTTCTAATATTACATTTTCTGCCTCTATATTTTGGTCACTTGCTTGAGTCACTATGTCTTGTTTCTTCATGTAAGCTGACATTGTTGTCTCTAAGACATTGCAGTATCATTGTATTTATATTGAATTGATGTTCTCAGGAACTTGCAGTCTGTCTCCTGGTGGATGTTATAGGAACTGGAAGTACAATTTTCTGTTCACTGTTCATTTAGTGTACTTCCCGGCAGGTGTGTCTGATATTGGCTGCTGTTTATCATTGATCAGGTAGTACAAGAGTGGGTAGTGGCACTTGCCCAGTGAATGGAGCTACAGGGAGGCACAGATGTGATTGGGCAGTATGGACACAGTTGGTGTCTCCCAAAAAAACAACAACAGTAATCAGATATCTAATGAGGCAAAATTCACATACTTCCAAATCCTGTGGTGGTATGCTGGTACCCAAGACCAGACAGAGTAGAGGCTGGACAAGAGGGGATGCTACTGGCTGCCAGGTGTATGAGGATGGGCACTGGTCACATGCATCCAGTCACCAGGAGGGTGAGAAGAACCAGGGACAACTGCACACCCTGGCTACCTACCTCCAGTGTGTGTCCTCTACCTTCAGATACTGTGTTGACCAACAGTTACTGGCAAAAACTCATGATGGCTGCACCATGCCAGAGTGGTTGATAGCCACCCTCTGTCACCTCTCTTACTGTTCCCAGCTGACAATCATTTCACTTCTCTATCCTATCCTCTGAAGCTCAAGGTTCAAGGATCACCATCCACATCTGTTTCATTTGGTCTCCCATGTCCTAGTTGCCTAGAGTCTATTCTGTCCATCTGCCTACTCCATCATCTTGCCCTGAAAGTTTCTTGTTTTCCCGCCCCCCTCTTGTTCAATTTTCATTTTAATTATTAAATGATGTGATCTGTGGAAAAATTTTTTAAATCTTACTTACCATTTTTTGTGTCTGAAAAAAAAAAAAGTCTTGCTTTCATGTTTTTGCATAACTTCATCCATTTTCTATACTTGCTCCTCCAATTAATTCAGCAGAGCTGTTGTAACTCAAATTCACAAGTATGTACCTGAGCCCCAAGTATTTTAGAAAATGAGGTATGCTTCCTCAGTGTGAAAGTTATGGCTGTTTTGAAGAGAACATTGGCAACTTTATTTAGTTCTTTTTAGAATGCATTGGACATGTTATTGCTTCTAGAGCGACCACTTACAAAACTACTAATACAAATGGAGCTAATTTCAATATATTGTATATTGTTCATGGCACTAATAAAAATTGATACTGACATTCTCATCTTCTTATTACACTCTATGTCAGCTACTATCATTGCCATTAAAAAAGCAATTTATAACCACAGGCCCTCCTTTAATCATATTCCTTATTAGTATTTCCAGTCTCTTCTCTGGCGTGATTCAGGTTACAGGTGGTGCTGAGAGGCTTTCTGCGTCTTTCTAAATCATGACCATTGCAGTGTCTGAGCTCTTTCCTTTTATTACTATTATCCTTAATCGGAACCGCATGCTATTGCATCTGTTAATGCTGGTAATTGTCTCCCTACGTTGGCAAAGTGTTTTACACAGGTCCAGCCCCTTTCCTCTAATTAGGAAAATATATTCTAGCTTCTGAAATGGCTTTCTTATGTGCCTACTTAGAAAACAAATAAATTCAAAGCTTTAAGTGGATGAGAGTCAAATCTCACCATCCTTTGGTGGCCTTCATACTACTTTCAATTTGTTGGTTGAACTTATATAACGAAAATATTATTTGCCTCTTTCTATTTATCTAATTTTATACATTTTTGCACATTTTTTTAAAAGCTTATCATTGGCACATTCTCATAAGTTATGAAATGAAAATATATTTTATGGGCCCTGTAATTAATAATAGGGTTAATAATAACTTAATCAGCATGTGAACATTTTTGTGTTGTATAGATTCAGATGACCTTCTCTTTTCTCCTTCCTTGTTTCAATCACAAGTCTTTATATCAGTTAGCCTTCTGTTTTGTACTCAGTAGCTTTCGTTCCAATTTTCTTGTTTTTTCAGAATGACATTTCCCTTAATATTCACAGTTTTATTAAAACTATTTATGATTCAATGATTTCTGAATGTGATAATGAAAGAAAAAAATGGACAGAAACTGATTTTAATAATAAATATTCTATAAATCCATCATCCAGATTAAAGGAAATCATTTTAGCCACAAAATTGGATAAAGGAAGGCAAGAACACCTCTTCTTTTGTTTCATTGTTTTCTTTTCCAAATGCAGGACTCAGTCCATGTTTAGATATTTAATAATATGTTAGGCATATGTGTCTTTCTAAATACTGGCTAAACTTATAAATTAGAATACAGGAAATTGGCACCTTAAAATCTTTTTATTTTTAAGTCACTTTTAGAAGGAAGC